TGACAGGACATCACCATAGACACAGTGCTAAGTCGAGATCTACCCAAGCAGACATTCCACATGAATGCTGCTTGTTTTTCTCATGAAACACAGAAAACAGCAGGGTTATAACAACACAGCCTGTAATGAGAACATTTAAAGTGTCTATCTTAAAAGACAAAGACAGACAAAGCATGGGGAGAAAGGAATACAATATATAAAGGAAGCTAACGGGGCAGTAATTCATGTCTTGTTAACAACATTTATTTCTTTACTGCCTTCTATTTCATACAGCAGAATTATATTCTGGGCAGTACACTCAGCTAGGTTTATTGTGAATAACCTGTATTAAAAATCAATTTTACATGGCATGTAAATATCCATGGTATGTGCAAAAGAAATATAATAGAACATGGATAATAAGCTCTTCTGGGAAGTTCAATATCATTTTGTCCCATTTAATTCAAAAGTAGAAGCAGAGAAAGTAAATCTAAAAGATTACATCCCTCCCCTTGGTTCCAGACAGCCACACAGCCTCTAGGGCAGATGGAATCCAGGCCGTGCAGGTCATTCTATAATGAGTTATTTTATTTTTGTATTTATTCCAGCTACAGCTACTATATTAATAAAACAGCACTGAAAGCACTTGGAATGATTCTTCTTTATGACCCTTTTACACTTTATTTATAACAAATCAGTAGCCCTGTACACAGACATCACAACAAAACAGTGGGCACATCTACACGCAACATTTACTATGGTGCTGCCTAGTTAGTCCTGCAGTATACATCTCAGCATTTATACATGCAGCCTTATTAGGCCGTACAAAACTAATTAACTCCTCAGCAGCACGGGTGTAGATGCTGACGTGGCTGGTTGGGGCATGAGAGTACTTCAGTGTGGGGACTGCCTGCTGCCTAGCCTCACAATGAAGCACCCTCATGTGGCACACTGAGCCGGGCAGGAGCAGCCCTGAGCTGGCAGACTGACCACCAGAGTCCCCTGCTAGCCGGGGCTGCTCCAACCCAGCTCAAAGTGCTGCAATCCCAGGCACACATTCAAATAGCACACCGGGGAGCAATAAACTCTGAAATGTATTGCTTTGCATTAATTGCATGTGTAGATGTGCCCAGTGGCAACCTAACCCATAGGCTTCTTTACCAAAAGAAACCCTCTAAAAGTATCAGTTTATCATATCTGTTGACCACCAGTCTGTTTCCAAGTATCTCCTGCCACCTGAGTATCTTGGGTGGAATTTTCTAAAGGCACTCAGCACTAGCCTACCTGTGCTCCCAGGAAAGTCAATGACAATTTTACTATAGATTTCAAACAGCAGTACGGTAAGTCAAAATCAAAGCATTTGAAAATGCTCCCTTTGCATTTTAAACTCCTTTTCTATAATTCACAGGTCAGCGAACTGAATCCCGTCACATAATTTTAGGTTCTAGGATATAGTTTTCTCCCCTCAGTGGTCTTGCGGGTATCCAATCCAGAGAGGCAGATCCAGGATTTGGCAAAGGAGGGGGGGATACCGGACCAATTGCCAGTCTCTTCTTCTCCTGCTCTATATCCCCCTTCCCCTCCCCACCCCAGTTGGTGGGGGTAGATCACACCTGGAGTCTCTGTGGATTTTTTTTAAAGTCCTCAAAGCAGTTAAGATCTCCCACTTTGTGCTTAGAGGTATGTTCCCCCCACACCCCTTCCCCTCCCTCCCTCACCTGCTGCAACATATCTTCTTACTGTTCAGGGGTGAAGAAAGCTTCAAAGCCCCTCCTGACACTCTAGCTGGTCTAGGAAGCAACTGGGCTCAGCTGGGATAATGACAGCAGTAGCAATGGAGATGGGTGGGGGAGTGTTCTCCCACGGACCCAGTCCCCTGGGAGCAGGCAGACAAGGGAAGGGGAAACTTCCTTGCCCATCACCTCTGCTGCTGTCACTGTTCCCAGCTGAGCCCACCCCTGCACAGCCTGGCTGGAGCAGGCAGGAACCGCTTTGAAGGTTCTCTGGCCCTGGGGACAGTGGGAAAAGCAGGAGCAGCAAGTGGGTGGGGGAGGGGACCTGTCTCTGACCTTGGAGGGGAAGGAGATTCTTACCTGCTTTCACAAAAGTCCCTAGAGACTCTCCAGTGTGATCCAAATTGAGCACCTTCTGACAGCTATTAAGGGGACCTGTAAAGGAAAAAAAAATCTGGCTTTTTTGTGTGGCTCATTTATAGCACAGGGAGGCTGGAAAGGGTTTTTTGGAAGAAAAGAAAGTGTGGGAGTGTGGGCTGCTTTTTCCATGTAGAAATTCAACCCCTTGCTTTAAAGAAGGCCCCACAGCTGTAGATCCCAAACGGTGTGAGAAAAGTGATACTTTTCTTTCTTTCCTTCCTTCCTTCCTTCTATGTTGGGGCGGGGGAGGAGGGGCATGATGTCCACACAGAGTAGGGCACAAAAGATTCCAGTGGGGCCAATTTACAGATGTCCAATCCTAGCACAGATCTCCAGCAGCTGGAAGCTGCATACCTGCCGCAGCTTGGGAGTGGGGGTTTGGGAGAAGTGGCAGCAGCAATGGGATGAGACATCTGCTGAAGGCCTTTGCCACACCCTGCCTGCACCATTTGGACATGGCTGTACTGTGCTCTGTTGCATCTCGTTCTGTATACACGCTGCTTCCCACCACACCCCGGCTGCTGGACAGATAGATGCAGGTCACCACTTCCCAGGTCCAGTCGATCACAGGCAGCTGAGAACCCTCTCACCCACAGGGCTGAGCTCTAGGGAAATGTCCCTGCACCCTCCCCCTTCCTAGCTGTGTCCTGGAGCTTCCCAAGGCAGAGTTTCTTTACAACCTCCCCTGCCTTGGTCCCAGAGCACATTGGTGAGTGCTCTACACACCCTGTCAAAGAGGCAGTTGCTGCCCCAGTTCAGCCTGACACTGCCTCCAGCTAGATGGGCTGTCCCTGCTCCCATGCTGCTGCCACTTCTCCCAGGCCTCCACCTGCCAGCACACATGAAGCTTCCAGATTCTGGGAAACTGCACTGGGACCAGATATCTGCAAACTGTGTTCGTGCTGCAGCTGCCACTTTTCCCTGCTCTCCTTCTAAGGTGTAAGCATGAAGCGTGCCACCAATTTTAATCTAGCAAAAAGTAAAGTGTGCCCCAAGGTACCAGAAGTTGGGGGAAAACTGCTCTATAGCCAACTGAATGGGTAACAGAATGCTATGATATTACCATTACCTTGGTACAGAAACATGACTGAATAGGGAGTCTTTAATCAGCTCTTCAAAATAGTGTCTGTATTCAGAACTATTTAGCTCTAATATTCAACAATCAGAAGAAGAGCTCTCATTGTTGGAGATTCACTGCTATTATCTCTGATTAAAGACTGAGAAAAACCTACTATCTATATTGGAGTCCTTAAAATGTGTTCTCTTCCAAGAAACCCTTGGATGATTGTACCTATTCACTTAAATATATTTTCTAAAAGGAAAATAAGAGTGCAAATTTCACTGTTTTATTACATCATAAAGGTGCAGACCAAAAAAATTAAGAATGAGAATAAAGGCAGACCCAAGAGACGGAAGCTTAATTTTATACTTTCAAAGTAATTTTAATATAATAACAGTTCACAAGTAGACTTCCTTGCAGTATTTATTTATACCTCTCTGAGTATATCTAATTTACCAATGTCATTTTGTTATTGTCCTTACCTCATTTTCATTCCATGCACCACTGCCATGCTTACACTAAACTTGACTTTAGTTTGCTAGAAAAAACAAATAGCTCATTAAATGCTTTCCAAGTCTAGCTAAATTACATCTTGTTTTCCCTTTTTCACTAATGTTGTAATTCTATCAAATAGAGCCATCAAATTTACGTAGCATGACCTGTTCTTTACAACTCCCTCAATGCTGTTTATTGCTCATGCTTCTGTTATTCTTCAGCTGTGAAAATATTTTCTTAACAATTATTCTATTAGCATACTAGGGATTGTATTCAGATTTACCAGATCCCTCTTTCTTCCTTAGTGGCAATCAGAAGACTAAAGAAAGAAAGAAAAACAGAAAAAAAAGACCCAGAAGTGCTCAAGTGAAGAACCTGCAACAAATTGTGAGAAACGGGAGCTCAAAAGAAAACAGAATCTGATGTTACACATCTTTAGAAAAAAAATGTTTTATTTGATTGCACAAAGAATACATATCATACATAAAGAGCCATACGCACAAAGCACACAGATTATTATTAAAATGTGTGTTTATAGACTGCTTTTAAAGCTAGACTGGGCAAGGCACTAGAACAAACCTGCATTGGTCAGTCTTCAGAAAGCAGGAGAACAAGACTAGCTAACCCAGGAAATGTTTGCCATCTTTAATTGCTGATTCTGTAAGACAGCTGGGTGCAGAAATGTTCACTTCATAACAATACAATATACATTCAAGGCCAAATGGGAAGTGGGGAATTGTAAGAAGTGTGCATATCTATCCAGGTCCAACATGGGCACATCCAGGATGTTGTACAAGGTGGTACAGGAACAGCAACCAGAGCTACAGAGGTGGTGGCACCCTCCCTCACATCTCTACCCCACTCACACCCTCCACCTCATCCCATGGAGGCAGACCACGCTGTGGAAGCAACTGTTAAAGATTTTTATGTCCCCAAATCAGGTAAAGATCTGTCCCCCACCCTTTGTTCTTGGCACCCCCACCCTTCCCCTCTGTGCTCAGTGGCATATCTCCATTGGCTCTATCCCCAGCAGACCTGGCAGAGAGTAAGGGGCTCCAGAGACTCTCCTCTCCTGTTCCAGCAGGGCTTCATGGGAAGCTGGGCTTAACTGCAAACAATGGCAGTGGCAGGTGGGTTCCCCTTCCCTGTGCCTACTTCTGGGCTGGTGGGGAACACCTGGGAAGGGTCAGGCAGAGGGGGATCCTGCCCCCCTGCTGCTGTCCCCAATTGAGCTGGGCTCTCCATGCAGCCCAGCTGAAGCAAGGCAAGAGTGGCTCTGAAGCTCCCCTCAATCCCTGTCAGCCAGAGTCAATGACAGCAGTGGGTGGGAGGGGAGGAGAAGGAAGGGGAGGAGAGTTGTGACTGAGCACAGAAGGAAAGGGAGGTGGGGACTCTTACCTACTTAGGGGCTTAAAGTCCCCAGCTGCTGCTCTTGTGGCATGGCCTGAAAGGAGGGGGGGAAGCTGACTGTGCCACTGCACCCCTCTCTGGATTGCCACCTGGGTTCTCATACCTTCCAGTCATTCTGCGCTTTAAAAACAGCAACTGTAATTGCTTTCTATTTAATACAATGAAAGTTCAGTAGACACAAAAATAAAGGCTATGCATCTATTGCTTTAAAAACACAGTGCTTTCTTATCTTGGGATTACAATAAATTTCAATCCACTGATTTTTTTTAAAGAAATACCATCCGCTGCTGCTTTGTACGGTGGAAGCTGCATCTTTTCAGCTTCTGCCAGCAGGTGGCCAGAAATGTTTCAGTTCATTTACTGAGTTTATTCACTCTTGGCTGTTCTGCACTGTACTTCAGGAGAACTAAAACAATGTTTTGAAGATAGCACAGAATGTCAAACATTCTGCTTACACTAAAACTGTACATTCAACAGTTCAGCAAACAACCCGTTAATATAATGCAAGGTACCAGTTAGGCATCAGTTAGGTGGAGCTAACTGTAGGTATCCGCAATGACCTGCTTTGAGACATTAGGTGTGAAGCCTAGTATATTTATCAGGCTTCTGTCAAAGAGTTGGTGAGTATATTGCCATGTCAAACTGATCATAAGACACTCAAACTTCAAAACAGTTTCTGGTAACAGCTGTACTAACTACTGCTGACCAGAGCCAATGGCTGATGCATTTTTTTAATAAAGCTTTTAAAAATGTACTGTAATTTAGTTGCAAGGACCATATAAAAATATGCCTTGATCTTCAAACTGGCCAGCACAATCATGTTACCTGAACCTATTTTATAAATAGCTGTTGAAATTGAGATGATACATTTCTAGTGCAATGGAACTGAAAGAACAGGTGGGCAAGCTTTTGGAAACAGTCTGTCAAAGACTAATTGATCTTTCAATGACAGCCTCTGGACTAAGGGCACTAAGGCTTGCTGTCTTGCTGCTACAAAACAGCCAACCAAAGCAGG